AAGAGATTACGGAAAATCACGCGAGATAACTGGCTTGCACCTTGTTGGGTTTTTTCAAGGGCAGAGGGGAGATTCCTGGCGTGCATCTACTTAATTTGAAGAAGGTAAGAGTCAAACTATTTTCATCTAAATCCATATAAAAATATGTAACTTAAAATTTCTCTACCATTTGCACCATTTTCTACTTGTTCCATACTTGTGTCACATTATTTCATGTTCTGTAGATTAAGTCGTTAGGTTAAGGCAGATAGCTTTTTGTTTACATTTATCGCCGCACCATGTTAGGTACATTCTGTGCGAAAAAAGTCTGCAGAGCCATATGTGGTGTACAAAGCTGCTGCCAGAGACACAAATGGACCCCAGAAATATCACAGTTTTGCTCCTCCTGAGCTCCCTGGAGGTTTAGAGGATTTTTAACACACGGATCTAACATCAGTCTATTTCTAACTATTTTAATTCTATTTCAGTAATGTTACTATGGAGGTAAATGTAGATACACACACACTTTGGTACCTTTCTATCATCATCGAGATTCTTAATTAATTATGGTAATAAAAAGTCCTACATTTCAGTCGGTGAAACCTGCAGAAAGCATTGCTTTCTGAGCTTTGTTAAATGTTCCTTAAATACCTGTCAGTTATGGATTTCTAGTATATTTTGTCAGGCTAAAACTCTCAATGGATTATCCATTATTACAGACTTGAGCTTTCTATTTTTTTTCTTTAAAATACATATTCCTCTGCTGTAAAGATGTTGGGGTTTTTTGGACTCTTCTTTGTTGTCCCCAAATAATTGTAGCTCAGAAACATTATTGATGTTCATTGGTTTAATTTTGAAATGTTGATGTTTTTTGTGTTGATTGTTTGTGCTCATTTTGACCTATGTTACTATTACTTTCTACCATGTTCAATTCACCATTGTTCTGCACATATGTGCCTGCATGTGTCCAGTGGTTATATTCATGAGGCATTCAAGGGACTTGTACTAAAAGATACAACTCAGTTCAGTATGAATTGCATATTTTAATGGCTGAAAATATATATGATCTCTTTCAGAACATCACCTGTCTGTAATCCACCTGCGTAAGTACTGGTCAAGGGGCTCATCGGCTATCAAGTTATAGATTTCAGTGGCTAATAGTAAGTTTTGCCAGATCTAAAGTGACTGAATGTATGTTAGAGAGCCTATAAAGCTAGGGTTCAGCTAAACATTTATTTGGCCAGTCTGTTTTATTTGTCTTTATTTGCGTGGGGATGTGGAAATGTAAGGAGTGTAGTCTCTCTCTGTCTCGTAGATATGACCTGTTAAAACATTTTACACTTAAACACCGGCATATGCGACGTTATCCATGCCCACACATAGACTGTCCATGTACTTGTAAGACATGGAATGCTTTGCATATTCATTTAAGTAGAAGGATATAGACTGTGTTGACCATTCTGTACTTTTCACATATTTCTTTGGTGATATATTCATGTCTTTATTTAAACATCTAACAGCTTCAGTTAGATGTTTAAATAAGATGTTAAACTCCATTTTAGTCATGGCATAATGAAGGGATACTAACAATTTTAAATATCTTTCAAAACAGACTGCAAGCCACTGATCACTTTTGTTGTGACTTCCTTTGAATGCAGCCATGTTTTCAAGTGTGTGAACCTATACTGCTGGAGTTTGAGATTGTTCTCATTGTTTTTTGATCTGCATATTTAGGAAGACACTGCTGAGGTCAGACGAGAGTGCATCCTCAAATGTCTGTGTGTACCTAAATGAAGATCCAGAGAAGCTGGTGAGGGAGTACATGGTATGTAAAATTCTCTTTGTGTTTACAATAGAACTCCTGAGTTGTTAAAAATACTTTCACCAACTAAGGTCCATGAGTGACTCAATCAATGTCAGTCTTAATTTATTTATTTAATTACATGTGAATTGTCTCCCCCCCAATACCCTTCCCTAACTCCCTTAGGACGTTGATGAATGAAATGGCAAAAGCCGAGACTGTCCTCGGAATCGTCATTTGAGCAGAGGTGCAGAGGCTGCCGATGCACATCTGGATGTTGGGATTGTCCTGGAGGAGGTGGAAGTTATGAACAGCTTGGGCAGTGTATCTTCTGCAATAGTGATGCTGCTGGGACTAATCTACGCACTAAACTTGAGCTACCCTCAAGTTTAGTGCGTTCAGCACTCAACTTGCTCAGTAACTCAAGCATACCTTTGAAGTAATACAGAAAATAATAATGAAATTGAATGGAAATAACTTATCAAAGAAAGCACAAGTTCTCAATATGAAACTCGCTGCTAAGTTGAGTAAAGTTTCATATGGAAAATGAGTGTTTAAAGTCTGCAGTAGAAAAGATTTATATTGTTACAGTTCTCTTAAGTTGAGCAACTATACTGACATGTTTATGTTGTAAAGAATTGGCTGGGAAATGAAACTGTAGTTGTTTTTTTATTTCAATGTCCAACTCAGCTGTGTTTTGTGCTGTGTAAAAAAACGATGTATAACAATTCTGAAATACAATTGTGTTGTACCTTTCTAATTGTTGAGTGTTCTTCCTACACTTTCACCTAGTGCTATCTTAAAATGCTTGATTAACGCTTGAAAATATGTCTTTGAATTAACGTCATGAAATAATGGAAAGGATTTCCACACGATTAACTAGCTGTCTTTTAGCATGAAGCATATTTGTTGAGCTAACTTGCTTTTAGTGAGTTGGACCTACTGAATCAGGTAGTGTGAAGGTACCACTGTAAAATAAGGTGGTTTCAACTAGATTTACATTCATCTTAATGAAGTTACATCAATGATTTGGTCCTAAACATTGCAGATTAGTTGGGGCTGGCTGTATTGCATTACACTGGGTCACGCTATAGTAACTGAGTTAAAGGAACCTTTAAAACATGTTGAGCCAACACATTTCATTTGAATTTGAATAACCTTAATGAATGGAGTTGAGCCAACTCATTTGATTTACAATCATCCATTGCATTACCATAATTCTGGTTAAGCCAACATATTTGGTTTAAATTAGAACAACCTTAATGAATTATGTTTTGCCAACTCATTTATTTATATAAGAATAACCACAATATATTACGTTGAGCCAACATGTTTGATTTAGAATCACCCATTGAATCACCATTGTAACAAGTGGAGCCAACACATTTGCTTTACATTGGAATAATCTTAATAAATTAGGTTGACCTAACACATTTGCTTTAAATAGGAGTAACACAAGTACATGGTGCTGAAATAAAGCAAAGTAATCAGGTGGAAATCCTTTCCATAATTTTTTTATGTTCATCCAATGACTTATTTTTTTCAGTGTGTGTAGCAACTGTTTATTTTAGAAGTAAAAATAAAGTATCTTTGATTGAAACACACTTTTGTCATTTTTTATTCTTTAGTTTTGGTTTATATATTAAGTGCATTGAAAAAACAGACAATTACAGCAGCACGATGAGGGAAAAGATGATTAATCATAAAGTCCATTGTCCTTTTTCAAGCTCACCAAGGGAATAGCATTTACACATTTGGTGTGTGCATATTAAATGCAAATGCAATTATTATGTTTCTAATAGGCTAAATTAATCATAATTTAAATAAATAAAAAAGTATCAATCATATTCAAGCTAATCGATATAAAGTAAAACAGAATTTTCAAAATACCAATCAAGAAAAGTTCAATAATTTAATTAATTGTCAAATGGTCAAGCAGAATGAGAGGAATACAAATAAATTAAATAAATATCAAGCTTATGTCTAGCTACATTTTGTTCTGATCAATTTCCTTTTAAGCATCTCTGCCTCAACATCAATGTAAATGTGTTGGAACACGAAACAACATCAGCAAACAAGTTACCTTCCTAAGGAGAGTGGGGCATACTTGGCCACAATCAGGTGTGACAGAACCCAGGTGACATTCCAGGTGACACCACCTACAACTGTGGCAAAACAACGCTCCAATGAGCAATCGATCAGATGTTTCACATGTAAAAGCACTACTGTCACCAATGATTTGGATCATTTTGTGTTGATGACGCCAGCAGCAAGCCACAATCACCGTGAAAACAGGTGAGGATGTTCGAACTGTGCGCTGAGGCGGGGTTTTAAAGAAGCTGGCAGAGTCCGTGGCAACACAAGAAGTGGGCCTGCAAAATAAAAGTCCATTACTAATTGCGGGTTACACAAACAAATTTCTGACTTATTCTGACCATAAATTAATGGATGATATGGTACCTGATAAATGTGATACAGCAGTGTGGACTCAATTAAAAGAAGTCAACCAAAAGGCTTTTGCAATGGAGCTTGAACCACATTTAAGGTGGTTCAATGAGGTCAATGACATTTGGTGATAGAAAGCCTCTGATGTTTTCATTTCCTTATAAATGACAGAAAGATAAACTTTGCTCCCTAATCCTTGTTTATTCATTTACAATAAGAAATCAAACTCTTATCAGCAACACGAGCTACTTGTAATCGACATTACTATAAGTATAATGTATACAATATGTATTATCCCTCCAAAACGCTTTTTAAAATGTTTATTTTTATTTTTATGTATAGAAGATGGTGTCTAGCTTACCAATTTGTGTTTATGATTGCAAGTTAAATTTTTAAATGACAAATCAAAAAATAAAATTATTATCTTATAGATTGGGGGGTTTGGGGGAGGGAGTAATGGTAATGATTACCTGGCCAGTCACAGATAAAAAAAGATATTTAAGACGTGAGTTAGCTTTTAAGCCTCAAACGTGAACTCCAAGGCCTTAAGACTCAAGAAACAGAGAAGATGTTTCTATTTCTTTTGCTAGTCTGTTCTTTTTCAGCAGTTCAGCTTCAAGGACAGAATGATCCTAAAGGAGTTGAACATTTAAAGCAACTTGATGCACCAGAAGCAGAAGCAGGATCTGTTTTTACCCGCCAGCAAGTCTGTTCAAATGACATCCATGCTATTCTAAGAGAGGTGAGCGCTTCAGTTGCAGGACTGAAGGTGGGCATGGAGTACTTACAAAAAGAAAATGAAGGTATGATAAATCACTTTTAAAAACTGACTTTACCAAACAACATTAAATAAACTTGAACCAATGAATAACTCTTGGTTCTATTTTAGCCCAAGCAACGAAGACAAGAGAACTGGAGCAATTGTACCAAGGTATAACATTATGCATCGTGCAAATTCACAAGATAATTTATATTGTTTCTTGTCTTACATGGGAACTTGTATTTAAATAAACAAACATGCAAGTTGTCTGTTTATTTAAATAGTATTTTGCCAATAAATGGACTTTGAAAATGGTTTTACTTGCCCAAGCTTCTGTTTGTATTTGTGTTCTGTGTTTTTTCAGCACAATCAGCTAAAGTTAAAGAATTGGAACGGCAAAAGTCAGAGCTCCTGCAACAATACCAAGGTATATATGTTGTCACTTTCAGCAACACTGAACAATAAAGATACAAACTTTCCTATGTATTTTCTGACACATTTTAGTGGTGGAATGCAGTTAAAATATCTATAGACTTTGAAATTGATTCATTTATTTTTTTTTAATCAAATAGCAACGTTTGATATATTAAGAAACATTTTTGAATTCCGATTAAATTTGGTCGATAGCTATGATTAAATGGACAGATTTTATTTGAATGATGATGATGCACGACAATGTCTACCTTTGTTTAGAGGAAACTTGAATGTTGTGGCTTTGTTTTCAGCCAGTCAGTTACAGTCACAGTTTCTTACCACAAGTAAACCAACAACTTTGTACAGCATACTGTGGCAATGTTAGAAAAAAGGTTGATGTTTTTATATTTTATAAAAGAGGGTTATTACCATAAACTTTTATAGTGCCAGAAGTCTTAATCCTTTCTGTGTCGCACTTCAATTCTCATGCAGTTTAAAGGGCCACTGAGGAACAAGGCCGAATGTGAGGCTGTGGCTGACAGATACTTTTTCTGTGTTTTTGGAGACTTTTTGTGATACAGCAGTGTATCACAAAAACTTACATGTGGTTTCAGCACACATGGTAAACATGAGCTCAAAGTGAAAGTAGGTCGTTCCTGTGGACAGTGATTTATTTTTCATCCATGAGAAGTACAAAAAACAAAATTAAGACAATTGTGGCATATCACATGTAAGAAAATCCTAACACAGAATTATGGTTGATCGCTACCGACAGACATGAGATGGACAACGCTGTGTTTTCTAACACTAAGACCACATTTACATTTAAGTTCCAGAATTCACAAAAAGGGTTGAATTTATTTTTACCAGTGAAAGTGTGCATTTCTGAAAAGATATTTTGATCTGAGAACATATTTACTAACATTTCGTCTTGTTTGTTATAGTTTCTGCATGATACAAGTTAACATTTTGTGTATTTTTGGTTGTTTTAGCACAAGAGGCTAAGCTGAAGGAGTTGGAATCGCAAAAGATTGAGTTGGACAAGCTAAAGCTGGAGTACCAAGGTATCTGAGTTAAAACTATTTCAGTGTTCAAATCAAACATTAAAAATCAAAGCGGTAAAGAAAACTTTCCTTCCATCTTAACAATGTCTAAGCTATATTTCATTTGGGTAAAGTTTTCCACTTTAATTGTTGTAATTGTAAATCTTCCATAAAACAACGTTATCTGCAGTAAATTCACAGATTTATTTCTCAGTACCTTTTATCATTCTAATTCCAGCACAGGGAGATGAACTGCAGCAAATTAAGATCAGGACAAACTTAACACAAAAGCAGGTGGAGGTTCTGAAGAGAGAAGGAGAAGGTTTGTTGAGGTTCTGGTCGTCATATCACTGGATCAAACTCATAACTGTCTCAAGAGATGCTGCACATAATATTTTTTGTCTTCAGTGAAACAAGTGGCATTCTCAGCCTCCTTACTGGACTCAGGTGGACGGGACATTGGACCTTTCAATGCATACACGACTTTGATATTCAAAAATGTTGTCTCAAATATTGGGAATGCCTACAATTCAAACACAGGTATTGCAATTTTATTAACAAAACACATATTTATGCAATATTAACATCAGAGTGGTATTAAAATAAAATACAATTTCCTACAGGGTTTTTCACTGCCCCAGTGAGAGGTGTCTACCACTTTAATTACCACATCTATGGACATGGACATTCTTCACAAGGTTCAGGTGCTGTGCTGGTCAAGAATGGAGAGTTTATTTTCATGGCATATGAACATCAAACTTCACTCGGCGCTAACTCTGCTAACACTGTCACGTTGCTGTTAGAGGTTGGAGATGTTGTATATTTGCTTCAAAGGGCTAATACAAGGATTTTTGATGATCAGTTGCATTATACCACGTTCAGTGGTCTTCTACTTTTTCCTTTGTGCAGTGATGCATGCTAAGTCATTTGTAGCAGTGTTATAGTGCAGTATAACATGTACACAAAAGATAAACAAACTGCTCAGAAGACAAAATACCACAAATAAAATGTAAATTCACTTTACAGAAGGGCAGTGGTATTAAGACTAATTTACCATAAGGTGTTTTCTGCAGAGAACTTTTACATAATCAGAATGACAAAATATTAATTTTAAACCATGTACACCAAAGTATATCTCACACTATAACTGTAATTTTTGTACTGCATGCTGTATGTCTGATTTGATTTTTAAATAAACTGCATTAACATTGATGGAATAAAAAACATCTAAGCTAGGATGAGCTTCTCACACTGAGCTTAATCTGGGAAGGTTGATGTGTGCACAAGTATGAGGGACACAAAACCTTCACTTGAAAGCAACACTGTTTGACTCTGTTTGAAAACTGAAAACCATACTGACAGTGCTATTTAATACCCAGCATCTCAGTTAATTCTTTGGTGAAACCAACCAAGCAAAGCAAGTTGTTTCAGATAAGTAACCTACCTGGAGAGCAGCAGGACACTTTTAGGTTAATTTCCAGTACATAGTAACTTTAGAAGAACACAAGAAGCAACCAAAAAACCTGACAAGAATTAGCAATCTACAGAATTTTTTTCATTTCCTGACATTTTGACCCACAAAACCTTAGCGTGTTTTGGAAGATAGGAAATGGTGAGACTGCAGCTTTTTGAAGGACAATAATCAGGGACCAAAGATGTGTCAAACAAGTCTGTAACTCTGTAACCTGTAAAGAAGAAACAGCTAGCATGCAAACAGGTCATAAAGGATGTTAACTCTTATAGCTACATTTACTTCCAACCATAAAAAATATACAATTCTATAAAAGTGTGGCTGGATTTTTAGGAAAACAAGTATGATTTTTTAAAAAATGAGTACTGAGATAATCTAACTTTACTATTTACTTCTGCAATACGACATTTATTTTTAAATCATTTTACCTCTGAATCGAAAGAGTGTAATTAAATTAAAGTATTTTATTAAGTCCCTTGTCCAGCTACTTTTAAGAATCTAGAATTAAATGCATCACAAATCGTAAAAAGCACACAGGTTTTATTGCATATCAATTTCATGTATAAATTCTTCATAGCATTGGAAAGATTACATTTGGTATACATTGCTATTCTACAGAATTAACATCAGAGTCATATCTTTTCAATGAAATTTCTCTAAAGTACATCTGCAATAATCACAAGCATCGAAAAGAACTGCAATTCCAGAATTGTTCAATATTATTCTACAATTCTTTATTGTTTTTCATTAGGTCTTCTCCCGTGAGTCGTTTCTATGTCTTTCAGAACCTGCCCACACATCTGCCAGGCAGTCAGAACTTGAAGTCAAACCTACTAACCTAAACACATGTACAATAAGTGCATCTACAATTTTTTTTCTCTTACTTTTTTTTTTCTGTTTTTGAATTGATACACATTTCACAAATGGACATCATTATGACTGCTAAACACGTCATGCACGATAACTTTTTTTTTTTTCATTTGTTTTCAATAAACATAACAGAGGCGATATACAACTCAGATTTTAAACAAAACAAGCACCATCCATTAAAACCCATATTTTTCAAAGGTTTTTTTTATCTTCTTCAGACAAATGCACCATTGTTTTTCATTCTTTAAAATACTATACAGTTAAAAAGAAATCGTGTATTTTATTTTATTTTTTTTTGACTTTCATCCGTAACAGTTGGGCAAAGAGCAACCACGTATTATTACGCTGAAAAAAAAAAATATTTCAGTGACCAGAACATTTTGTGAAGTTGCCAAAATGGAATACTTCAACGCTTTCAAATCAGTTGCTTCGCACAGCGCGTGGTTATTACAGTAGTCCATGACATGAATAACTACACATAGTCAACCTAAAACCTTAGTGACCCAAGTCTTTACATTTTCTAAGCACAAATTGAAAAATAATGTGTTTACAATGAATGGAATTTCATTCAGTAGAATTATATATATGTATATATAAAAGAGACTTTAGTCTTAAGAAAATGAGATGACGCAGCAGTCCCAGCATCACACTACCACCTGCTGTTGTGAATAAAAATTACAGTGCTTTAGTTTTATTCTCATCTCTCCTGGTGGAGTCCAGCTGGCTCATCTATTGAAAGTCAAATCAGCGTTAAAAAAATGGATCTGGAATCTAAGTTCAACCAAAAGACTAAACTATATCCAGTTGATGGTCTGGTCCCAGTTGCTTTAAGTGCTTGTTAAAAAAAATAGATAAAAAAAATTAAAAAATGCATCAGGCCTGATTAAGAAAGTCTAGAAGGGATGAAAAGTGATCCTTAAGGCTAAAACCCAGCTGCCTTCAAGTACCGACTGAAAATGTTTTCTGCTGTCTATGACATAGCCGTCTTCGCAGACTTAACAGAATTGGGTCTCAACGCAATTAACACGGAGTTTAACTAACAAGTCTGGATTGTTAAAGAACAGAGTGATCACTCTGTTCTTTAATAATCACTAGTCAAATCTCTTCATATACAGTCAGCGAACCTGTCACTGTCATGTCGTTTTTGACTGGATGCTGTGAGAATTTCCGACCAGACAACAAACCTGAGACAAAATCGTTTCAAGATGACAACTTGCAGGCCACGCAACAAGGGATGCATGCCAAAAAAATAGAAAAAAAAAAAAAAAAGAAATATGAGTCGACCGCGGAAGAAATCCAGATTCAGTAATGATAACGTAATGCCCTTTAAATGACATTCAAAATTATGTTTGTACAATTATGCCACTAGGCAGAGAGGGAGAGAAAACAGCATATTGAGTTAACTGTTAAAGTGAAACAATAAAAGGAAAACCAAGGTTAACCTGCCCACGATGTTCCAATGCCAAACAGGACTCTAAAACTAACTGCACTTGCATTTAACTATAAATAATAACAATGAAAAAAAAAAATTTAACTTGTGGGGTCTTTTAATTTTGGCACACTAATCCGTCGAAATCAGAGATTCAGAATCTCCCCCTGTGCTTTGACAGGCAATCCTTTTTCCTTCTTCAAGAAAAACAGGGATGAAAATACATTTTGTGTTTCTTCATTTTCTCTTCTTGAGTCTCAACAAAACAACATAGAAATAAATACATGCACACACTTCTGAAATTAAACATATAATGTTACTAGGGAAAAAGAAACGTGACAGCAAATGTGAGGCCTCTTGGAAATGAAATGATTGTCAAAGAAAAAAGAAAAGACTGCTAGGGGTTATTTGGCACATACCACTCTGAATATGAACATCTAGGTTATTATCGTTTTTACATCATGTGATAGCAAATTTGGTCCTTCTCTAAAAGTAATTAAATTAATAGTTGAGTACTCTTGAGCCTAAAGAGAAGCAATACTGCGGTATCTATAGAAAAGAAAGTAAATACATTTAATTGATGATGCAATAAACAAAACAGAAAAACACACTTTTTTTAGTATAATTTAAGTTTCAACATGAACAAATTTAGTAGCCAATTTTAATAACTATTGGCCCACATAACTCATTACATCATCACATTTAAACGTTGGACATCATTCTCCATGTAATCAGTGAAAAATCAACAGTATACTGGTTCTGAGGATTTGTTTATTTTGTCTGGTGCTTTTGATTCTGAAATTAAATATAAATGTGAAAAAAAAACAATTAACAAGATTAGTCGCCATGACTGGTGGAGAAAAAAAAAAAAACCTGGAGAGAATCACTCACGAGTCCTCTATTTCTGCTGAAACAGTGCCACCTGGTGGACATGCAGTGCCAGTGCTGCAATGCTTGCGTCGGGCATTGTGCACAGACTTTAGAGACATTATCAGTTCAGTAAGTGTCTTTTAGGGAGCCGCTTTACAGGGTGACTGTGATGCTGCAGGGAGCATTGTGCACTGGGGGGAGGATCAGAGTGACGCAGAGTTTCAATGCTCTGGAGAAGCATTCATCATGTCCTTCACATCAACAGGAGCTTAGCAGTGCTTTCTCTTAGACAGTCTTGCAGGACACCTCATAAGGGGACACGTCCCCTCCACCCCCTCTCCTCCTCCGTCGTACTCGCACAAACACATAACATGTGAACACAGGTGTAGCCGCGCAAACTCCTCCGCTCTGCCTCGAATGTGTGTGACAATGAAATCCTTCACGGCCTTCTCGTCTTCCCGATGTCCAGCCAGTCTCTTGTTTCTGTCTGTTTGTGAGACTAAATGTTCCTCCTACTTTTCCTTCCGTCTTTCCTCGGCCTCTCTTTGCCTAGATATGGTTGAGTGGGTGAAAGCTGCTCGTCTCAGACGGTCCGCTTCCCATGCTCAGCCAAGCGTCCAGAGAGTTCTGAGAGGGTGCGTGCAAAGGGTTGTTCTCCGAGAGAGACAGCATCATTGCATAAGCCTGCAAAGGAACAACAGTTGGATGTCAATTAAGAGAAAATCTGCAAGATTCACCTATTTGCACATGTTTATCAATTTCTCTCTTTGCCATATTGTTTCTCATTTCCAGAGATTGTGTTTGGCATTCATAAAAATAATATCAAAGAGTATAATGATAAATGTTGCTGATTAATTTAGAAACAACTAACTAAGAAAATGCATCAGCCTAAAACATAGCTAAAATTTGTGCTTCATGATTTGACATAATTCACTTCACTCATTGCATTTATTTACAAATGATGGAAAATAGTTTTCTTTATTTTATAATTGATTCTTTTTCAAAAGGTGGCAGGTTTTGCAGCTCAAAGATGCCATTTATAGGACTCAAATAATGTGCTTCCCACCCTAAAGATTGCTTCTTTTTCTGACCCTTTTGTCACACTAATATGTTCCAGATTATCAAACTAATGTTAATATTGGATAAAAATAACTTTAGTAAAAACAAAACATTTCCAAATGATGTTCCTCATATAAACATTTAACACATGTATAAATGCACCCTTGTAAAATCCTGATGTATATTTGACTAACCACATTATTTTTGGTTTATTGTTACAAGCCACAACCAGGCTGGATTACAATAGACCCACAGAGTTAAGAAACCACTTAAAAAGATATTATCTAAAAATATGAAGCAGGCTAGAAAGTCTAAAAAAAAAGAAAAAAAAGTAATTTAAGAACAGATAAAAACCAAAATTGTTGACAACTAAATGTTTGGAAAGGGTTACAAAGTTATTTCTACTGTGAATTTAGCAAGCAATGGTGAGAACTATTATTCACTAATGCAAGAGAAACATGAAACAGTGGTGAACTTTCCGAGAAGTTGCAAG